GGCTTTTGACAGCGCATGCAGAAACGTGTCTGCTCACTCATGTCCTTATTCGAATTTGGTTAACAAAATACTTCTGCTATGAGCTTGATGGTTGCTCAACATTTGGTATGGAGAGAAGGCAAATTAGACCCATTAGACTCATTTTCACCTAAACTCTGTCGACTAATTTTCACCTATGTTAACCCATCTTTCTAATAGCCTGTATTGTGTTATGATATTTATTGGTGCTCAAACCTTACTAGCTCAGTCGATACTAATAACTGACCACTTTTATTTATGATTAGCTATGATAATGCATTTGTATAATAGTGTTATTTTTTGTACTGCTCTAATAGTAGGCCTAATCCTAAAATTATAGTTTTATCATGATGCAACTGCCTAGTTCATATAATCTTACATGGAAGTCACATCGTTGTCTACACTGGCTCACCATAAATAACAATCACCAACATGTGATAGAAAACACATTTCGGTTGGGGATAGGACAATATGTTTAACATGAACAAAAATGATGTTTAACCCTATTCTAAACCGCGAGAGATCCCCTAATATCTTTTCTTTCAAACACTGCCTGTCTAATTCCCAATTTTCGAGTTCCATTGCCAAAGAACGAAGACAATATTCCAGAAACCTTTGGTGGGTTTAAGCTATAAGGCTTCTGCAAACTCAAGCTCATTTCAGATTGTTCGTATGGTGAGGACCAAGCATTGATCTGAACTCTCAGATTTGTACTGAATAAACCGAAAAACAATGTCAACAGCATCATTAAAATAACCCATAGTGTCATTGAATAAGAAAAAGAGAATTCAGCGAAGAAAATTTTCTTTTCGACGAAATCATTTACTTAAGCTGTACATTCGTATATATAGTTAGATATGGAAAATGTATGTCTATAGAAGGATAGAATGGATTGTATCACACAAAAAATGGATTCGACAATAAATAACAAATGAGGTTAACGTAAGGAGAACAAAATTTAAGGGTCAGATAATAGTCCAGATAATAGTCAACAGCATCATACACATCCCTGAATTAGTCGCAATATTGCGTATTCAGTCTGGTTACTTTCGGGTCCTCGCCATATGTCACAGTTAGCATTCTATACATCAGATTTATTGGATCATATAAATTTCCGAAATAATGCGGGCGGATTTTACTATTTCCACAGACGATTCGCCACGCTCTCGATACTTAACATGTACATATTTTTGTTTGGTTTATTCATATATATTTCATATAAACCACCTTAAAAACGGCTTACTACATAAAAATATTCAATAGCTTTATACGACAGTCTACTGCCATGGAAAAGTGTTTTCAGGCAAATCATACTAGATTCAACATCAATCTGACATTTCTTAGTACTACTTACCATTGACACATATTTATGAATGTCACTGGGCTAATTACAGTAACTGCTTATGAAAAGTTTATATTTTCTCCATCAAGTTCCTAAATGTAGTGACATACGTCATGAATAAACTTTTAAATTCTATTGTCGGGTTTCTCAAATTTTATGTTCCACATCAACTTACACGTCAACTTAACTTGCCCTACATTATATTATCTCTGCGCCGTTTAAATTTAGTGATTATTAGAATCACGTTTAACATTTTTCACTGAACCCATCGTGGCACATAAGTTTATTTGATTTCAGAAACTTATACTCACTCAATTTCATACGAACCGATCTATATATTATCTCAAACTTGATGCTTGAAACTGACTCGTATGCAGCACCGAACAGTATGTGTGAAAAGAAAAACTGCTTTATTGCCAATCAGAAAATTGAGTCTAGAGCGTGTCTATCACGGGTACACTAACGTTCAACGAACTATCGTCAGCTATCTATCCAAAATTCACATGATTGTCGCTATTTTCATGAATTAAATGAATTTTTGATAACAATCCATATATTTTAGCAATAATATTAATATTCCCGTAACCAAATAAACCGCATTAAACATAGCAAACTAACTGGAACACTAGTCGGAATTCTTCCCCTCAGCGGTTATACTTCTGTTTATTCCGTTAACCTATTAATGCAGGTGCAATCGGAAATCGAATCATACGCATAGCGTACCTGCGTAGATGTCGAATGGCTTTCTAGTCTGCACCAAAAATAATACTAATATCAACATTGATACAACATTGATGTTTCTCTATCTCTAGCCACAAAATACTTATACTGCCTGTCAGATCCTTTTCGATTGTTTTTGTATATGAAAACCCCTCCACGTATACACTTGTAAATTATTCCTCTTGGTTCCTTCAAATACACACTTTTTCAATCTTTCTAATTCGATTTGAGTTGGTACCATTCGTATTGTATTGCAGTTTTTGTTTTCCTTTCGCCCTCACTGAGTTTTCATGCTTTTCATGAACTACATTTATGTTGTTTTAGTTGACAGCTAGTTATGGCGACAACCATATTGATTTGCTCCCTCTTTTGATTGTGTAGCTTGCTTTGGCTAGAATTGTGTAGTTTTTTATTGTGAATCGAAGCACTCATCCATAATTGGTGACTCTCCGTGTTGTAACACAATTAAATATTACCTTTTGAACGAACCTGTATGTGATCTACTCAGAAATGATAGAATAACGTCCATTTGTTGTACTTCATCTGACTACTGATTGAACACTTATTCGTTGGAAAACTGGATGGTAATATTTGTTTAATAATAATAATTTATTCTCGAGTAACAGTCTGTGACATGATTTACATCAGTTTACAGGCAAGATGAAATTGTTATAGAGAAGATCAAATTGGTAGAAAATTTATTCATCCATTTACCTTGTTTTAATTTCAAATGGGCGATAGCGCGAATCAAAACTACCTGAACAGTTATTCTTCATTTCAAATCTAGTTTATTCTATTAACCAGTGGCTATTACTACGCATCTTCATATAACTTGTTTAAATATCTCGATAATAAATCGTTCTTCATTGTCATAATCCCACCCTGTTTAATTCTTAAATAACCTTCGCGTGGATTTTCATTTTAAGCGTGTTAAGGATCATATCAAACATATTTGAAATTACTTGTATTTTCTGAACAGTTGCTGCAGCCTCCTTTTTTATTTATCCGTCATTTCATCAATAACTAGGGGATTTTATTACCATTTTGGTAACTTCCGGCGCACGACAACTTCATTCAGTTTGGTGTCGAATTAATGTCACGTTGATTCTGGTGGAAGAGTAGTGTAGTGGTATTGATTCCTAACCACATGATCGTTTGAAGCCAAGTATATTATTACCGAAAAGATCAACATTCGATATGTAACACCTAGAGACGATCAAAGTTGACGAGCGCGAGAAAAATTGATCGCTGTGGCACAATTCAGCTTTGTACGCATGGTCATTATATGTAGCTTATCCCTATTCGCATCAAATATATTATTCAGATGTGTCTGTGGCGATATTAGTGGATGCTTTGATGTCCTGGTGTGAGAGCATAGTCGCTTTTGCTCATTTTCACATTTCCACAAAACTGGTCTGTCAAGGGTTTGTAGTGGCATTGGACCCTGGCCATATGACCTTTGAAGCCGAGCATATAATTACTGAAAAGACATATACTCAACAACTGACACGAAGTGAAGGTTAACTATGAAAAGCGGGAACATCAATTCAGTTCAATCGTCTGAGATGGCTAAGCATTGCAGGCGAGGTTATGGTACTTAAACTCGTAGCAAGATGTGCCGCATTAGCCAGAATCCAGCGCTTCTCATAGTGAACCAACTGGATAAATCGAAAACGACACCGTTTGGTTGCAATCTCTTCGTAAAGATATCTTTTCGTTGCCTAACAACCATGTTTTGCATAAGTAAACTACTTTAGGACACTGCTGCATCAGGGAATCCCATTTTGGCAGTTGTTTGCTCTGTACCGACATAGGTATCTGCGCGTTGTAGAGATTTTGCTGAGCGCTGAATGAGGAGTTTATGTAGACTAATGTCGTACTATCTGTCAATTATATGTCATCATTATGTAGCTAAGAATCTCCAAGGTGAAATTTATTAATATTGACATCCCTGATGAGCCAAATTTTATATCAAACCATCACACTCTGACGTATACCATATAATACATTATTTTCCGTCACAACTTTCCCACATTGCACAACAGTTGAGTGGTAGATGCACTGAGTAAGTCATTTTAAGAAAGGAATCACCAGATAGAAAATCAGACTTTGAAAGGTTGGTTTCCAATCATCTTTTAAATTTATGGGGTTCGCTTCGTGTACTTGGATTGTGTCACTATTACCTTCTGGCGAAAACTTGTTGTCAATTTGATCATCGAAAGCGTAAGTGTTGAACTCAAACCCAAGCTTCTCGTTGCCAAACTGTTCAGTAATCGGTTGTATGATAGTTATCGAAAATTAACTTTGATTCACCAGTCTGAATTGCTTTCCATAAGTTGTGAGACCTCAGTTGTCTCGAATCAAGTGTAATCGGTACTGTACCCAAATAGCTTAGAGTTACCTAAAGTAAACTTGGTTTGGAAGATAGGAAATAAGAGTATACGTAGTCTTATACTATAACCGTGTTGTAATCAAGATGGGTCTTCGTAGAATGTGCTTTCGTCAGTTCATTTTTTGTGTGGTTACGTCCTACATCCTTGCTTCTTGATATCTGCATCAATCACGAGCGATTAGTTTTTGTGGTATTCTCATATGACTACTTGTCCCAGGTAAGCGTAGGTAATATGTGTGAGTTTATTTGAGAAACTTATCGACGCTTGGAAATACCGATAGCCATTGAAGTATGCATGAATCGTGTTTCGTTTAGTTTTTAAATTTTGGCAATATCTGATGGATAGCTAGTTACTTCCAAACTATGGTAAATAATGACTGAGTCGCATTCACTGCATGCTTTTGGAGACCAGAGACAGTTATTGAACACTATAATGCTAATCAAGAAAAGTTAACTAGTTCACATTAGCTGGACACTAGGGTATTGAGGATTGAATAGTAAAGCCGCACTTTTTCAGAATAACGCTAAGTACGTTTGCCAGGGTAAGTCGTCGTTCTTCTCCCTAGCTTATTTCTGAGAAATAAGTGTGTTTAGTAGTGTTTGTACTGAATATAAACAATTCTAGACCGTAGATTATGTGTTTGTTCATCGCGCTTGGTTCAGATTCTGTGTATATACAGATAGGTTAAAAATGAGACTTGAGAAATACGTAGTCATGGATTAACATCTCCCACTTTGATTAGTTTTACCCATCACACGCCCTCTAACGTATCTGCCGTTATTATCAGCTTGTCCCTATCCCGCCTCTACGATCTCCATTTATCTATGGTCCCTACACTTATTTTTCCTCACACTGCATTAATATTTTATTAATTCATTCATTAGTTTACCTCTTCGATTACTCATCATTTATTAAATTTTCCTCACCCAGACCTTTTATCTTTTTAGTCATGACTATGCGGCTTCCTCTCAGGTCATTTAATATATGTTTGTTCTAGAAATCCCAGCCCCCAAATAACCTGTTACGCCCGAGAGTGGAGAGAGTCAGCTCTCCGTCTCGAAATGATCTCACATGATCACGTAACACTGCCAGGAAAGTCTTACTTGCTGCCTTCTCGCGGCATTACTGTTGTTTACGAATTTGAGAAGACGAAAAGCGAATGTCCGTCAGGCGCTTTAACCGGGTTCGTGGTATGGAAGATCCATCTAGGGGAGTTGAAAAATCTTGATTCCAAACCAATTGTGCACATCGGCTCCAGGATACTAAAGGGACAGGTGGAGTATGAACCAACAGTTGGTCACCGGCTACCATGGGACTGCATCTCCTTATGATGCTCCACTGCTTTTTTCATTAGACCTTTAGGTCACAGACTCGGGGAGTGTCTCCCTAAGAAAACCACCTGCTTCGGTTACGTCCACCGGACAGTGTCCCAGCCTTCACATGAATCGAATGACTTATGTGGCGCATATCTTTATGGTGCCTTCTTGTATCTATGTTTATGTATTTAAATAAATAAAATAAAATACGAATAATTATCAAACTAATTAGAGCTATCGCAGTTAACTGGTTAAACTCCTTCCTATTGGACATTGCCGGAGATTTGAAGCAGTACAGAAGCAATAAGAGACTATCGCAACGAAATTAACCGGTTTGAATTGACTCGTCACGGTGTTGGATATTGAAACCACGTGCGTAAAATACATGGACCTTTGAGGGACGCTAAAGTGAACTTGATAAAACACCTACTTATTAGGATTGTAAGAGAGTATAAAGAGAGTATAAAGAATTAATACTAAGATACCAGGTTTAAAGTTAAAGTCAGGAATGAGACTTAGGCGTTCATCAGGAAATGACATCAGCTATAATGTCAAAGTGCTATTTGGCCAAATGTATGAATGATTTTCGCCTCAAAATTCAAGACTATCCTTAACTTTATTGGCTCATCCTAAAGTTATAGTCTCGTCATTACATTTTTGTCAAAGAACTGGATTGGATATCAAAAAGCTACATAGTAGTCTCCTCTTGGTATCCGAGAGTAGTGATCGCTTTAAATTTCAGAGGAAATGAAGGGCCTTCACATGATTCGCGTGACACTGTTGGAGACTTTGCTCTCCCTCCTCCCATCATCTGACCCGTTGACGATGTACGATGTTCTATCCTCTAAATGCTTTTGTTGACTCAATCACATACAGAGAGCTTTCCAAGGAAATGGCCAACAGCTACATAGACTGGTTATACCAAACTTTGCAATAGTACTTTCCTGTTGAATAGTGAAGCGTAGAAGAATTAATAGTTACCTAAAATCCTCGAAAGATCCTCTTATTGGGGTGGATAACGGTTTGACATTGGTCTCAGTAGTTCAGTTGCACTGTCTATCGTTGATTTCTTAATTCCTGAGATTTGTGTCATTCCATACTTTTCATTATTGAGTTTCATTTGTTCGTTTTATGTTTAGGTCCCATTGGAACAAGTAGTACTAGCCAACCACTTGTGCTCGGTTTTACTTTTGCTCTCCATAAAATAATGTGAATTATGCTAGCTTAGACCGATATAAATCCATCCCGCTTTCTACTTTGTCGTTAACTAACCAACTAACTGAAATGTGTAACAATGTTTAAGATTTCGGATGACGAAAAAAACTGCATGAGACTTTCTAATATTCTTATCTGATTGTCGCAGTGTATGATGACTGTAATTTTTCTGAAGTATCCAGACCGGATAGGATCTTTGTTTTGGGAATCCACATCACAAACGTTAAACCTCAGTAATTAATCATATCGGACCAGTAGCAATTTTTATATCATCTGGTTCCTAGGAACTAAATAGTCAATTAGGCATTGTTCAACTCAAATTCAAGTTTATCTACTCAGAAATCTAGGACATTTTTATTGGCGATGAGAGTCGCTTGAGTAAACACACTGATAACTACTGTTATGGAAGATTTTATTATTTGTAATAAGGGTATGTGGATTGTTAGACAAACAGTGCTGAATAATCAATGGACTCGAATGTTACGATGTGGTCGAGTAATAGGCACTTATGAGGGAAGACTATTGACACGAACACCTAAATAAACTTCTATCCAAAACAAGGGTATCAGCTGCAAAGTAAGTTTTTTGTAATAGAATTATTTACTTGTATGCGCTGTGTTTACCCAATAATAAGCATGATTAGATATTTTAACCGAATAAAAAATATCAGTTTTTCATATCACTCATTCGCCAACAAACCAACACCTGTTTAACTTAATTCTTGACGATCATATCGAGCACTACTAAGGGGTTATATTGTCCGAAGGAATGTTACTTTCTGCCTAGAATTTTCGTAGATTAAGCTATTTATACAGACTAATTCAATGACTAACCTTATCAAATACATAACTTACCGTCTTTTTTCTCTCAATTTTCAGGGGTATTAAATTAATCATTATATTCCCTAGTAAAAGTTATTCTATTATCGTTTGTATGGTAGGTTTCATTACTACCGAATTACTGTTGGATATTATCCTATGCTAACATATTTTCACTTACTTTTTTATAGGCATATTTTCATTAGCCATGATGGACTCCAGAGATGAAGTTGTCTTAGCTTTGACAGATGATATGGATACTGGTTCATCTTCGGACGGACCTCATAGCCCATCAACGCGACGCTCAGCTGTAATCGGTCATTTCCTCTTCCGTTCTTCTGCTTTGATTATATATATACTATGCGCTTGGTTTACAACGTCTTTCGTTCTTCCGTTTATCTTTATACTTGTTTGCTTATCACTTGATTTTTGGGTTGTAAAAAATATTTCTGGACGCATCTTAGTTGGTTTACGTTGGTCGAGTTATACTGATGACGCCGGAGTGGTACATTGGCGATATGATTCACGTAAACCTTCACCTATAGATTCTGCTGATGTTTCTTCCCTTAGTCGACGTGAATTAGCCGCTCGTATGGCTAGACAACAATTATCTCGTTTATTTTGGATTGGTTTAATTGCAAGTCCAGCAATATGGTGTATATTTTTCTTGGCGTCATTATTTTCATTGCATATTCGTTGGGCTTTTGTCTGTACCATTGCTTTATGTATGAATATAGCAAATGTTTATGGTTATATTCGTTGTTGGATGTCTAATATGAATGAAAGTGAATCAAACATTTTAAAAGTAATCAAATCTACAGCAACTAGCAAAATGTCTAATTTATGGCCTTCATCTCAAACTAAATCCAATCTAAATAACACATCTGGAAGTGGTCTACCATTAGTTGCCTAACAAGCAAAACAAACACACATCTCACGTATTCCTCTATACATAATGTAAAAAAAAGAGACTCAGTAAATATGTTCTGATTTGTAACTGTGATATAACCATAAAATTGCACCTTATTTCTGATTATGCATCTTACCCTTCTCAATTTCATCGGATATTTAATATCATAAAAGGAAACAATACATGGTGTAAATGTAATGTCAAACATGTAGGTACTTGGAAAAGAACAGAGTATATTTTCTATTTAGATTAATATAATCAATTGTTTCCATTGTGTGAGATGAATTCAATTTTTAATATTGCTAATTGTATATGTTTCCTAAATAAATAAACATCTACTTAGTTACAGAAAGAAAAAAAAATATTCATCAGACTTTTGAAGGTAAAGTACTTAATTCAGTCATCAATAGGATTGGTAAACAATCCATATGTTAATGGTTTTTGATGATGCAAGTTTTCTTTTTGATTTCAAATTCTTGTTATGATTATTTCCAGTCTACTTGTATTTGGGTTTTCATGTAACAGGTGTTTATTCCCCTCATCTCTCTCTATCTCCTTCTATTTTACAGTAGTAAAACATGATCGGTAAGAGTAGAGGATATCCGTAGGTTACTAGTATTTAATCATAGGTGTCTTCGAAGCATTGATCGTATATCCTGGGACCATCGGGTAAGCAACGCAGTTGTTAGGAAACGGATACTAGGTAAGGATGGAAAATCAATTGATGAAGTGATGAAACTTTATCAGTTGAGATAGCTGGGATATATGTTACGTAAGCCCAACCACCAACTGCCCCGACGGGCGATATTTTATGGTGTAGGAGTAAGTTGGAAGAAAGTTAGGGGCGGCCAAACTAAAACATGGCACAAATTCATGAAATCATTGACAAGTGAACTGAACCATGTTGGTAGGTATAGAATAACTGGTTGGGATCCGTGAGACGATAGCAACTGATGGTTAGAGACCTTGAATGGCATGGCTCAAAATCGTTTCTAATGGTGCAGGTGTATCCACTCTTTGTGTTCTCCCAAATTCTAATTTTCTGGGTCTTTCATGTCCCTTTTTTTCTCTTTCCAAATTTATTTCACTGGATTATACTGTTTGAATAACATCTTCCAATCCTAATCTTCCCGATTATTGCTTAAACTCTTACTACCTCTACCACTATGTGGTCTGAATCGACGATTGTATCTGTGTGCTGATGTGCTATGGCAAGGTGAACTGATGTATGTACGTACGAAGTTCTACGTTGTTGTTAACTGATTGACTCTCCTATGTGTGGGTCTGATATGAAAGTTATCTCAGTTATTACGAAAAAATTACATGACAATAGGATAGTATTTTCTGTAACGTTCACTTCTCACCAACATTTTCTGTTAAGAAAAGGAAGCATAGTGGAAGTTGACACATTTGGTTATAAAAATAAGGTCAATTCATTGTGAAATCGTGACTAATAAATGTTCATGATTTCTGTTTTGAGCGCTTCAGAGTTTACCTTGACATCTTATTGCTAATTTATAAGTACTCAGATTAGATTTCTCCAAAATGGTTAATACTGTTCTGATGTAATTTGAGAAGTATTTACTCTGAACTATTGAATGTCCTAGATCAGTTTTTTGGCATGATAACGTCATTGAATATTCATTTCCCTCTAAAATCCAGGGGGAAACTGTTTCGTCTATTCCTGGAACTCCGTGGTTGTGTACAGACACGGCCCCATTAGGTAAGCTTCAGGTATTGCTGTGAGCACAATACACTAGTTCAACTATTTTAACAGCTTATTTATGATATAGTTTAATCCTCCGAACGTTTTTGGCCGCACAAGCCATAAGTTTCAACTAGAACTGTGAAAATTCAATATCCGTGCCCACATCATGTAAAAATACTTGAAAAACTTGGGGATAAGCTGGGTTGGGGATAGTCTCGATAGCTTGTGAGTCTGATCGCAAATCAGAGGATAGCTGCTTGAGTTGTCACACGGACGTTTCGGTATCAGTTCTTGATATATCAGCTCCTTACTTTAATTGTCTTATCCATTGGGCGTAGTGATATATTCTACTTTTATGTTAGCCTTTTCTAACTACCTACCGTTGTGAGAAGGCGAAACCACTAGAGATGCTGGTTTCCTAAGGGAAACATCTTACTGCCGTCACAATCACCTTGAGAATAAATGCTAGACGGAGGTAAAACTTTATTTAATTTGATCGATGAGGTACTTCGTGCATGAATATGCTTCGACACTTTGGTTGTATGAAGGCGAAAAACAAATGTCTCAGTGAAATTAAATAAGGGATAATGAAAACAATGTGATTGTCAAAGGTAATTAAAGTGTACAACGTATTGCTTTATAAAAACACAAAAAGAGGCTGTTGTAAGCCCATTGAAACTTCTATTATATACTGCTGTAATTTAGACATTTAACCCATTATATGTAGTTATGTGTGAGATTGATCGAATATATATCTGCACATCAATCTTCATTTATCCTCCGATTGGTTATTTACACAGTCAATCAATAACTTACCCACAATTGATTAACACCTATAAAATATATATATGGATTTTTCGATTCTGTCTTTCCAATGTGCTTGCCTTTCGTATGCTTGTGGTATTTATTAATCATTAACAATACACTAACTATCTTAACAACTAGTATTCTGTTCTAGCTTTCGAATATTCTCAAGTCAATTCATAGTAATACTACTAGGATAATTGGCCTACTAAAATACTCATTTAATGGGATATCATCTATTAGAGTCGAATAGAAGGAAATTAGCCTTTACAAGACCACAGCAAGATCGCTTATGTGGTACATTCAAAGTCGTGTATGGTAACACATCTGAAGTCATCGAACTGCATAATTTCAGAGACTCCGTACAAACGGATGTGATAAGTAAACATATCAACCTAGTCACCTTTTATTTCATGTTGATATCATTGACTGATCACTGTTTTTCCAACCAATCTCAGCGTTATCAGATAACGTTATTAGTTCATCATCCACAATACTTTTTTAAATAACCTCACCTGGGATTAAGGTTGAGCTATAAGCTGTACTATACACAAGCATATATATGGATCTTTGGTTACAGATACAGTGTTGTCTCTGAATAGGAATAATTCTGTACTGATATAGCGTGAATACTTGTCATATATCATCTGCGTCTCACGAGCTTGAGGTAGGAATGCTCTCACATCATTGTGCAGTTGACTGTAATGCTCAAGTTAAGGATACAGTGTATGTGACAGTCGTTTTAGAATATCATGAATCTCTGATTTTCAGCGTAGATTGGTATTATTTGCCAGAAGATTATTAGCAATCAAAATTACCCAAGTACACCAACCTTTTCACTGTTTTGAGAGTTGCTCATTATGGAGACTACATGTATACAATGGTTTTAGTGTACCATGTACTAGTACTTTGGTATGACATTAATCTAACTCTTACGAAAACTGATCACTGATTGAATTTGTGTAACGTATATAACAGCTGAAGTTTCATTAAATCTATGTCATAGGATGAGATTAGAAAGCAAAATTACATTTCGTTTACTCGTGATTTATATCCAATAGTACTTTCGTTTTCTTAATTCAACATGATAATTACACAGTATAGTATTTGTTTGGGTTTCCAGTATGATAATTTATTCGATATAATACTGATTTATCTAAGTGTAATGTTTGTTCAATATATAATATTCTTGTATTAAATCCACATAAACTATGCTTAGTATGACATACTACATGGTGTTTGTTATAACTTTGGGTATCTTTTATTTCAATGGTTGAGATCATGAGTCAGTTGAAGCTAGACAACCATCGGAAACCTGGAAGCACTGGACGGCCGTTTCGTCCTAGCATGGGACTCCCCAACAGTACGCATCCACGATCCCGCCTCGTGAGATTCGAAACCAGGATCTATCGGTGTCGCGCGCGAGCACTTAACTACTAGATCACTGAGCCGGCATGCAACTGTGTTAATGTCTAACTTCAACTAATCCACGAAATTGAGCGACACATCCACCATTGTCATCAGTGAGTTACTATCTCACAGCTGATATGGTTGAACTCTACTGGTTACTGCTTCTCACTAGAACTCTAGGAAATACCTCTTGAAGTCAGTCACTAGTGGGCGTATGTTGATTCATATCAAAAGGGTTTTTTATGGATATTATAGTAATTTCAATGATTGAGATCGTAGTGTGGGGTCGAGTCGCGATTGACTATGATCACCACCACAGGAAGATTACGTGCCAGTTATTAGATTAGATCCCTCCATAGGCCGAAAACCAGAAGACAGCTGATGGTTGTGATAAGGTATATTTGTTGGCGATTTCGTGGTATCGAAATAATATTGAGATCGTGCCAAAGTTTACAAGCGGGACTACTGAGCGTACGCGAGTCCGTGCAAGGTCACAGTTAACGGAAGAATGTTTGTTTTTAGTACACTTAAACAAACAGCTTTATTACAGTCCTGTCGAACAACTGAACGACAGTTTTGGTGTCGATGAACTAGATGACATTGGATACGATGATTGAATTACATCCCTAAGCTTTTCATTAGGATAAAAAATCTGCTTTTTCCTCGAAATTTATTACAAAAAAGACTTGAGAAATGTTACTGAAATTTTAAACGCGGCAAGACTATAATTTATGGACGAACCAATCAGATTTAGGATAACAGGTCATGGATTTTTAAGCAAAGATGGATAGTGGCTAGCAGTGGAATCCAGGACGCGCGTTTCGTCCTATTTGGGACTCGTCAGTTGGATGTACCTGCATCCCACAGTTGATGTTTACTCCGGGATTCGAGCCCAGTATCGTTCGCTCAAACAACACCTAGTGGATTTAAACTTCACCCCGTTGCACAAGCAATCAGCTATCAGTACTCAGTAGCTAAGTGGATAACGTGATGGTGTTTGAGGCGAACGGTACTGGGTTCGAGTCCCAGAGTGAACACTGACTCTAAGATGCAGGTACATCCAGCTGACGAGTCCCGAATAGGACGAAACGTGCGTCCTGGATTCCATTACTAGCCACTATCTATATTTGCTTAAAAAGCTTGTGACTTAAGGCTATATCGAGGTAATCCGCACAGGATGTAGATATGCCAACATGCGACTGATCAATTGCAGTCCTAAATAACAGTGGGAAGTTACAAGTAAAACAACACCGAGGTCATGGATTTTGGTGTAAAATTCACTCCTCCATTTGGCTAAATAGAGTTTTGGGATTATAGCTGATGTCAGTTTGTGATGAAAACTCTAAATCTAGTTCCCAACCTTAACCATCAACTGTAAATCATAATTGTAATTCCTCATACTGGTTTATAACCCTCATTTAGTCCTAGTTAGTAGGTGGACACATTATGAAGGTCACTTTGGTGTCGCTCAAACGTCTTCCATAAATTATAGTCTCACCTTCAACTTTGATTTGAATGAATATTTACCGATTAGAATGTTTATTCTAACCGGTAATAATATCAAGCCAAGATTATATTATGTCTATGATAAATTTCACTGCTAGACAAATAAAGTAACATAACTAGTTAAAAATAATGAATATTGACTAGTTCACATTCATACTTTGGATTTGATGTAGGAGATTTGTAACTTTAGAGGATAACCTTAAGTAAAGTCATCAGAACAAATTGCCAGTCGTATGTGGAGAAATTTGAATACTGGTGAACCTGTTTCAGAAGGTAATGTAAGCTTAACCATTGGACTACACAGCTCAGAATGCAACTCTACTAAAATTCATGCTTTTTCTTGACTGATAACAAGTCATTCTATAATAATAAGAGGGGAAAAATACTGAATTAAGGTTATCAGTTTCAGCATTTCACATTGA